TCTCTCTCTCTCTCTCTCTCTCTTTCTTTCTTTTTCTTTTTCTCTTGCTTTCGTTGTATCGATCGAAACGTTGAAAGAACACAGCGTGCGTTAAACGAAATACCGACGAATAAACAAACGAGAAGAGATATTTTTTCGATCGATGTCTCTTTCGGCACGCACAGCCGAGTCGAACCCCGTCGAATAAAATCCACAGCTGGACAGTGGCGACCAATCGCGTAGATTTGAGGCGGTCCAATAATCTCCCCATCGGTTTCGACGATCACGCTCGAAACATTATTTTTTAATCCTCTGTGCGCGTAGTCGAACCATCGTCGTCATAGTCGTTGAGCTTCAACTCTCTTTCCTACCCCGTCAACCCTCCCGGCTAAATAAACTCGACGATATTATTTTTCAATCGCCTACAGCGTGCGTACACGTTGGGGTGGCTGGTCCTAAAACGACACGCTTCGATAAAATGACGCTTTTCGCATTTTCTCTCTCTCTCTCTCTCTCTCTCTCTCTCTCTCTCTCTCTCTATCTATCTCTCTCTCTCTCTCTCTCTCTCTCTATCTATCTATCTATCTATCTCTCTCTCTCTCACGTACACACGCACATACACATTTCTATCTCGCTTCTGTCTACTTCTTATGACGATCGACATGACAGTATCATGTTTCATTGGTATATTTAGAAATAACTGAACTACTGAAATACTAATGCTTTTCTAATGAAATATATGCAAATGTAAATATCTAGATATTTCTAACTTATATGCTTTTACAAAATCAAATTTTGAGAAGATTAATCGAAATGTTGATTATTTGAATATTATTTGCGCACTCAATTTGGAAAAATTGAATTCAAATGATCGAAACTGTTCGCATAAGGAAACAGAAATAAAGATCTTCGAATTTGTTAAAAGCGATTCAATTGAAATGATGTAATCTCATCTGTCGACATTCGTCAAAAAATATATATATATATCTTAAAAAAAAACATGATGGTGAATAATTATTAACAAAGGTTGAAAACGTATCACGAGAGATCAACAATTGGACAATGTCGCGCAAACTCGTAAAATTAACTAAAAGAAGAGAAAGTCATGTAGGTATATGAGAAATCTTTTGAGTAAAGAGATCCCGGTTAATCTCGATTCATAAATATGCGTACTCTCGTTCGTGGAAGACGATAAGGACGATGAACGTTACAATAATACGATATTAACGAGGAACTTGTAGCTAAGCGTAAAGCAAAAACGCTATTCGTGTTTGCGCGACGAAAGATCGACGGTGTGAGGAGTAAGACTTTAATGGGATTTTAAATTATCCGATTTTAATGTACCATTGTTCGCTTCCACAAACGAGACTCTTAAGCACACGCGAGAGAGAAATACAGGTGATAACCTTCCTCGGGATATCGCGAATTTAATTTCACTTTAATACTTACCACTGTGCGATAAGAAAACTCTCCCGTTCGTTCTCCTCTCATTACGATCGTTGCATTTGCAAACGATCTTCCTTACGATCGAACGATCGTTTTACTCGATGTTCGAGAAAATTGCTTGCGATTAGTACCGAAGAGAAGAAAGGTTTTAATACATTGGTAGAGAAAATATTACTTGCCAAAAAAAGAAAGAGAAAAAGAAAATTCTTTAATGGATTTGTAAAGAAGAAACGGGAAAAAAATTTTTTAAAAAAACGAAAAATTAAGAAATATAAATGACTTTTTTTTGTTTTTTTACAAAGTAAACTTCCGTTTGTAACGATAACGTTCAAGTGATTGGTACGCTCGATACCGTTCTCTTCTCCGAAGTACACGATTTCCATCGACTCTTCCGTGAGAGAAAAAGAAAGGAAGGAAGAAAAGAGAGAGAGAGGGAGGGGAGGGAGAGACGATATCGTAGCTCTCCCGACATGGCACTATTTTATTCTCGGCCAATCGCGCTAGACTTTTTCTCCGTGCGTATTACGTTGCCGTGGACGGTAATGGAAAGAAGTTTACATATTATGCAGGCCGCGTACGGATTCTCTATGCATAATGAGCCGTGACGTCGCTGGACTAAAAATAAAGCATTCGCGAGTAAGGCTCGTCGGTCATCCGATGACTGTTGCGGCGTTGCCAATTTAGTAAATAAATTCATATATCCGGAATAAATTTTTAGTTTTTGAAAAAAAATAAAAGAAACAATAAAAAAATATAGAAAAAACAAAGCAAAATAACCGAGAACGATCTTCGGTAGATCGCTAGCAAGAAATAAACGGCTTTTAGAAATTGTTTTCTCGCATTTTATTACATTTGACTTTACTTCCGCGCTCAGAATCGATTATGTTTCTTAATTATCATAAAATTAAAGTTATCATGCGTATCGTATTATGAGGAAAATATAAAAGTAAAAAAATAAAAAGAAATAAATTAATAAATAAATGTACGAACGGCATTCAAACGAAATATTTTTAACTCGACAAAGGAAAACCGTAAAATCTTGAATCTTTGTATTTTTGCACGCAGCTTGCAATCTTGTACGAGAGAAAAAAATGAAAAAGAGAGAAAGAGTGAGAGAAAAAGAAAAAGAAAAATAAAAAGAGATAGAAAGAGGAGGGGGAGCAAGTGATTAGATCGTAAGCCGTGCATTTGGTCAGCTAAATTATTCGGCTTAATGGAGAGGTCCATTAATAATTTATGTCCCGCGTACGTAAATAAGACCGCAAGTTTCCTCACGAGAGCGTATTACTCTAGAAGTGGCGGAACACCGACAACCGTAATGACTCGTTCCTCTATTCGAAGCTGATAAATCATTAGAATTAACTCCATCGATCGACTCGCATATAATTAACGTCATTATTCCTGTAATATTCCCGATATCCCGCATTAAATTACCTATAAATACTCGTAGCTCATAGTTTTACTATCGTTATATCCTATTTTGTTTTCCCCAAGTTGCTCTTTTTTTCTCCGATTTGATAGTTCGAACTGGACTTGTCGTTATACCTTCCGTCGCTGCATGATACCTATCGTAAAACTGTGTACTTTTTTAAATGATATTCTCTATTCAACGACGGCTTTCACATTTCTTCGTACTTATGTAGTACCTATCGTTGTATCCTTCAGAATCTAAAACCACACCTTGTAAGATCGAAGATCGCTATTAATCCGATTATCTAACTGACTCGATCATTGACTTTCCCGTTTCTTATTATAATTACAAATCACCTTCACACTCTCTTGTATTATCATCCATTACAATATATTATCTCGTCACGTATTACGACATAACATGAACATACCTATCTATTTATCTATACATCTATCTATCTATTTATCTATTTATCTATCTAATGCCTACTTCGGAAGCTAATCGAGATAGAAGACTGTAAATAACAATAAAGAAATGCGATGTAGAAATTCTTTCGAAGGATAATCATGAATTCCTTTGTTTGCTAGAACTCTCTCGGTAGTCGAGTAGTAGCCAAGGGTAGCGCGATACTTTACGAGCGAATTTACGTGAAAGAAACGACAGCCAACAGCAACGTTGTCTTCTTCGATCCGGAAGGCAATCAGCAATGTACGTATGTACATATATACTACATACTTGGAGCGGCACGCAATTAGCAGTCACATTATATCCGGAGGCTCTTACAGAGCCCTCTCCGAACACGCAGAGAAACGGAACGTTTCACCCTAGTTAAGATTCATAAGAAAGACGCGCGTTACACGCGACCCGGTGCTCCTCATTAGAGCACTAATTACGTACGATTAACCCAGCAATTACCTGGGAATACATTATGACCGCGAATCAACTCGCCGAATCGTGATCACGTAGGCGCTTTTGCCGTATGTGAACTACATCGAATCTCGTTTCTTCTCTCGCAAGAGTTCTTTACAGATAAGAGAAACGTGAACGAATTCACTCGAATTAATAATCTGTTTGGATACCCAATCGAAAAAATGTTTTTTCTCTATCTAATTAGATCAAATCGATCAATTGTTCATTATGAAAAAAATAATACATTGCAGAAAATTAATTCAATCCCTTTAATATTTAACAAATTCCATAACGATACTGAGATTAAATTAAACAAATACACGTAACTTTCTTGTCAACCGCGTCATGAATTTTCTTTTTTTGTTTTTAAATTCATTAGAAAATATCGAATAAATACTTTTATGTTGTTTTCTATATGTATCTATATTTGCACATATAAGTACCTATCTGCGACATAAAATAGTCATTGTCACACAATAATATTGATTGCAATAATTCTAAACATATAAAAAAAATTCGATCAAAATAAAAATAGTGAATACTTTTATTGAAAGTTTTACTACAAAAACAAAATGTAATAAGTAAAAAGAGAGAGAGAGAGAGAGAAAGACAAAGAGAGATAGAGAGACAAAGACAGAGAGAGTTTGTTCCCCACAATGCGTACGAGTTCCTTCCAAAATGGCGTCGACGCTGAGCGCTTCCCCAGCTTAATTCACTATCTAGCCACCTTTCTCCTTCCCCTTCGACACCCCTCCTACTTTTCTCTTTCTCCCTCTCGTTCTTTCTCTCCTTTATATCTATCTCTTTCTTTATAAGACTCTCCACCCCTTGTTTCGGGGGAGCGTTACGCCCATAGAATACAGAAAGCATGACTCTCGCGCCCTTTCGACGACTCTCCACAACGTGTTTTCTTTGGACAATTCATTCGTTCTCCCCTCGAACACTACCACCATTTAACTCTTCGTGAATTTGCACATCCATTGGCCTTGTTAAGCGAAGTCGATATCTCTTTTCTTTCTTTTTCTGCTTTCTCCTATTTTAAATTGTCATTAAACTTTTCTAACGATCAACCTGGTTATTATACTTCTTTCTTTCAAATAATATGCTATGATTAGTTTGAACTCAATAAAATATTTGATTACAGTAATAACGATGATCGTTCATCAATGAATACGATCGTTACTAAAGATAAATGTTCGAAAAACATTTTTCAAACTTTGTCTTATCTCATATCAATCAATTTTCTCTTTCTTACCTGCGTTTCAGTTAACGATAGCGCCTGCGCTAGCTGCTTTCTTTCCGCCCCGACAACATAATGATTTTTCTCGAAGGCGTGTTCCAGCTTTAACAGTTGACTCGGACTAAACGCAGTCCTTATTCTTTTCGGTTTTCTGAAGGGTTGCAGAAGGAAGCCAGGTATGTCGGGACCTAGTGAAGATAAAAAATTCGTTATCTTTGTATCAATAATGATATATTTTCTCTAACAAATCGGACCAGGAAAATGTAATAATAATAATAATAATAATAATAATAATAATAATAATAATAATAATAATAATATTAATAATAATAATAATAATAATAATAATATTAATAATAATAATAATAATAATAATAATAATAATAATAATAATAATAATAATAATAGTAATAATAATTATAATAATAATAATAATAATAATAATAATAATAATAACAATAATAATAATAATAATGATAATAATAATAAATAATAAAAACAAACAATCATGTGCGTTAATTACTTAATTAATCAATGCAGTAAAATACAACGGACGCAAAAAAGAATGTATTATGAATCAAACTTATGCTATGATTATACATCTCCGTGAATTGCACAAATGTATATCTATTATTCTTACAATATCAGACTGATAACTCAAATAAAAACAAGATAAATATGTAAATAGATGTGTAAATGTATATATATATATTTATATCACGCAATGTTAGAATAATAATGAATCTTAAATGTGAATGAAATAAGGATTTTTAGATGATCTTGAATTTTATAATTCAATGATTCACAATGAAAATTAATTAAATCGATCGAAAAAATATCACATAAAAAGATTAGATATATGAATGAAAATTGATTAGAGCTTATATAATAAGTATTTGGTAAACCAAAAGAAAGAAAAACAATCGATAGATCTATCTAACAATTCCATAAATTACAATATTTATTGAAGACATTTTTAGGAAAAATGTAATTTTCATCAACTTTTTCGTTCTACAATTTTTACCTATCTACGTTCGTTACTGCCAAAAATAATGATCTCATAGTGATTAATTAACGCTATACGAAAGAAACTATAATTATATCGCGATAATACGTAAGAAAAGATATAGCGAGTGCCGTAAACACATGCACGATAGGAGGGTTGTTCGGTAGATAATTTACATTCTTAATTAACATTGGACTACGCCTGGTAACAGCAATAACTACTTACATTAGTGATATTATTATACAATCTATAGAAGAGTTATAAACTAATGAATTTGAGAAACGGTTGAAATTAATATAAATGTTATTATTTATCAATCATCTGAATAATTAAAAGTTATGTTACTAGGTAATAAGAAATGTTACTAGGTAATAAATATATTTAACTAATTTTTTAAGAAAGAAAAAGAGGGACAAAGATTAATTAATTAATTACTAAACGTTGTCATCATCGATTCTATTCTCGTTAGTAGTAGCTACCCCCACTTTCCTTCCTCATCTTTCTCTCGTCACCTCGACGTAAGTCACGAAACGCGAGCGTGCTTGGCCACGCATAATCCTACGTATGTAAGTAGCTACATAATACAACCTAACTCATATAGTTAGTATACCTATAATAGTATAGAGGAGTATCTACTAGGAACTCGCTCAGGTAATTGAGTATTCCACCTCGAAAGAGCCATGTCGATCGTCCGATACCTACGTCTGCCGGAAGTAGCCCGAGATACTTTACCGGAAAAGCAGCACGATAAATCGCTACACCTTCTCTCGTTGCTTCGACCCGTAGGTAGGTATATACTCGGCATATGGCTCTAAATGTATAGGTACATAAAATGTGAGACCAGACCGTCCACCCTTAGATCGATCGAAAACCATATATGCATATCCTATCGAAGAAATTTTACGAAAAGTAGTCGTTCGATGATGTTCTCCAAGATCCAAATCCCTTTTCCGTTAGCTATTCATTTTCAAGTTCTAATTGATGCTTGGTCTACTGATTCATACTTCGATTGAAATTATTTGTAGAATTTTTTTCTATAAAAACACTTGAACATTTCGATTGTTCCAATAAATGTATCTATAAATATCATAACTATTAGGGACTTTTGTATCCTATCTGTTGTCCACCTTTATCAGATATCGATCCAATGAGACCTTGTTGATAAGACTTATATAAGATTATCTAAATAAGTATCTGTATTACATATCTTTCCTTGCTCATTTACATTCAAAGGGCATTTGTAATTTGTTAAAGGAACACTCAGACAACTGTCGTACTATTCAACACTTAGAAAACATCCCTTATTCAGACAACACTTAATATATATTATTTTTGACTTGATTAACTCATACGGACTAATCATTCACGTATACGGAACACTCGTTATTCTAATCATAGAGACACTTATTATACGAACTATTTGTCCTAATAAATCTGAAGAACGCTTCAGACACGACATCTGTATTTTTAATTCACCTATCGGCAATCAAACTGGACTAGATGCGACGGAAAGAGTGGGTAAATACAATACTTACATACATTCAGCCTCTTCGCTAGGTTATTAAATGAGTATTAATCATATTGTTTCCATTTATCTTTCCTAAGTAAAATATAAGAATTTTTAATAATAATCTATTTTAATCGAGAATGTAATATAATCATTACTAAATATATAAAATATTTTCAATAAATATCTATCTAAACATATATATATTTTATTTCATTTCTGTAATTTGATATATTTTATTTCTATATATTTTATTTCTGTACAGAAGTAGTCTCATCATCTTCGTTCTCTTCGTATCTTTTTATTAGATAGGAACTTTATCCGTTTCTGATTCACCTGGTCTACCTTAACGGAAACAATATCTACCAAAGCACGCTATTAACGCGTTCAAAGATACGTACGATCGATCGATGCACGATGACATGCTAATTCATATTATGCAAGCACAATGTAGACGCGCAGGCATTCGACGTGCTTTCCGATAGTAATGCAACCAACTTGGCATAACGTAATCGAGCCGTATCACCTTCTACCAGAGTAAATTCTACGGAGAAGTTGTACTTATATACATACAATTTGCGAGTAACTCATTTGCTCGAAATGACGAGACAAAGTTGTAAGATATTATATACTTTAGATTGAATAGTTGTGACTTTTTCAAAATCTTAATTATTCTCTGTTCACTATAAATAATATACATACATATATATATATATATATTATTTATATTATTTATATTATTTATATTATTTATATATATATTCATTTATTTATTTATTTAAATATAGTACATATATATATTTCAATATCAGATACATACATATACATATAAACGTACAAATAAAGATAATACTATTATACATGTACATGTAATGTATAATTAATATATATATATATATTACAAATTCTTTCTTATATATATATTCATTCTACATTTCTTATAATTTTGAAAAGATTCATTTGAATCATATTCACATGAAATTACAATTTAATATGAAATTGTTCCTACAATAAATAAATAAATAAATGAAATTTCATTCAAATGAGTTAATTCTTGTCAACGATAAAATAGACATCTCTATTCGAAAATCGCTTACTGCGCGTGTTGGATCGGACAGATAATATATATTAGATGCAGCAGACTCGCCGTTAATTGCACGCAAATATGATTCTCAATGCAAGACATCTGCCATGCTGATAATAAATGTCACGAAACAATCGCAATTATACGACTAATGAGACGCTGACAATTAAAAAACGATCGTACAAAAGTACGAATTACAAAATTGCAAACTGTTCGCAAGAAACAACGTTATGGAAGCGTCACAAGAATATTCACGATTAATCGATCAACGACTCGAGTTATCATTTAAATATTCAGAAAATTTTAATTCGATGTTGCTCCTATCAACACAGTTGATTCAATCCATGTAAACGATGAACTACAAAAAATACTTTTCATTTTTCTAAAATTTATTTAATTAATGTTCATTTATTATCTATTATTACATACCTAATATCAAGTAGAATATATAATATAATATCAAGTATAAAATATATCGTTATAGTACGAAAACTCAAAAAAAAAACACTATAAGAATAAATATAAAATAAAATAGAAGAGATAAAGAATCCTTTCGGGTTGTTGGAATCATTCGTAGATGAAGAAGGATTAGGATGGGTGAAAGAAGGGATGCAGCATGATTCTCTCGATCTTCTCGCAAAAGATTGAAGCGATATCGACCGTTGAATCGCTCCCTCTCTCTCTCTCTCTCTCTCTCTCCCTCTTTCTCTCTCTCTTCTTGTCTCACTCGTTTCTCTATGCTGATCTCCTAGACATTGCCTAAGGCTCGTTCGTTCCGTTCGACGTAAAGGAAGACGAAGGAGAGAAGAAGAAGAAGTAGAAGAAGAAGAAGAAGGAAGAGAGAGAGAGAGAGAGAGAGACAGAGAAAGAGAGAGAAATAAAGGAAAAGAAAATCGAAAGGAGAGAAAGAAAGAAAGGAAAAAAGTTTCCAAGGCTATAATTACATCGAGCTTACGTTGCGGCATCGCAGCTGAGACGCCCTGAGCGACTCGAAATTACTCAAAAATAAGACTAAATGGTAAACGTATCAAATTATACTCCTCTCCTACCCTCCTCCTTTCTCTCTCTCTCTCTCTCTCTCTCTCTCTTTCTCTCTGTCTATCTATCTATCTCTCTTCACTCTCGGCATCCTCGGCTCCTGCGCCTCGCGCCTCTCGCATTCTACCGGCGATTTCTTTAGCATGGAAAAAGGAAGAAACCTATACATTGCCTGTTCTGCGGATCTAATGTGTTTTTAATTGTTGCCAAGCGTGCGACGTCGGTGATCGTGCAAAACGAATGATATAATAGGGGTTGGTATGTTAACGTATATCTAATGATTTCAAACATTAAATAATTCGAATTCATTTCCGTAAAAAATATCGAAGTTTGTTTGACGTTCTTCCAATCTAACTTTGCTTTGGATTCGAATAACTTTCGTTTATGTATATATATAAGTAAATATATATATATAAAAATATATATATATATAAATGTATATATATGTGCATATATATATGTGCATAGAGGGTTCGTTCATTAACATGACAAATTTTACGTTGACAAGGATATGAATAAGAAAACGATGCACGCATTGTGAGCGATAAGAGGAACATTCGTTGCATATATAACGGTATTTTACACACACAAGCGCGCGTGCACACACATACACACACAACTATATATACCCCGCCCCGTTTTCTTCTATAGCGGAAAATCGCTATGAACGAACGTGGCGACGACGCGACGGTTCCGCTGGTTGATATCACGTTAAAGTCAACGAGAAAGCTATGATTAATCGTTCCAGGCCGATTATCGGTTACTACGATCTGCGCGATAATTAATTTTTCCTTGCGAATTAATTCGTTCTTATTAGAGCATTCTAATAAACTCGTATGGACATTTATCTCGAAGAGCTGGAGAATAATAAAGGCTACGACGTCGGTGCATTAACAATTCGCCGCGTTCAATTATCCAAACCGGTTGGTTACTTTCCAACTTACGTTTGCTCGTGGTCGCTTGACTATGATAAGAGCCAGTAATGAACGATTAAAATTTAATTACAAGCTCGTTGATATTTCTTTCGCTATACACGGATACTTATCTATTTAATAAAAAAAGAAATTTCCAAAAGTTTTGTTCACACAGTGAACTGCGATAATCTCGAAGGACAGCCATCTTTCTTCAGCCATATGGCTAATTAATGACGCACGATCAATCTTTCATCATTTCTCGATAAACTTTCGATTCGATATCGTTAGACTCTTCCGATTAAAACGAGTTACGTGTCCACTTAATTAGCATCAAAATAAACCGAAAGGATAAATCATTATCATAATTGTAAAGATATGTAGATAAGAATAAATAAAGTATCACTTGCTCAATTCATCGGCTATCCTCGATCGATTTATAGATATAACAATACGTCTCGAGAACGTTTAGTCTCTCTCTTTTTCTCTCTCTTTCTCTCTTTCTCGTCACAACAAAAGCCAATCTCTCGGCACGTCCGAACGTTATCTCAAACGAATCATAAACAAAACGACAATAATGAGCACGTTTCGAAGATAGAAACAGTACACGGATATCATTGCATAAACGTTTTAGAATGACAAGCTTAAGTTATGCGACAACAACGACAACGATAATCAAGACGAGTAGCCAGCGACCTTTCGCAACGTCGAGCGACTAAACAAGTAAATTCATTCGATCGTACCGTCATTCGAATATATATATATATATATATATATATATATATATATATATATATATATATATGTTATGTTTATTTTCCCGAGAACGTATGCGGATAAACATTACGTCGTTAACTTGACATTAGGCATAAAAAAATGAGTCAGAGAGAGAAAGAGAGAGAGAGAGAGAGAAAGAGAGAAAGAGAGAAAGAGAGAAAAAGAGACAGAGAGAAAGAGAAAGAGAGAGAGAGAGAGAGAGAGAGAGAGAGAGAGAGAGAGTGCACGAGAGTATATTTACACGATTCAATTTCTTTGAATTTAGTACATTGAGTAACATAGACATTCACTATCTCTCGATTCAATTCTATTCTATAATTGACAATAATCTAACGTAAATTATCTAATAAATGAGCTTTCAATTTTCATAATATTATTCTATACGACAGAATTATAGTGATTCTTTATCGTATTGTACTGTCTGTTTGATCACATGACTAAAATAATTTTGTTTTAAATTTCTAGATTTTAATTAAATATGAAAGATTGAAGATTTATTTCTATATTTACACGAGGACACAAACGACTGCCAAGATAATCGAATCGAAAAGAAAGAGATACAGAACATAGTAGAGTGCGGAATGCATCTCGCTTGTAAACGTCTTTGGAAAAACAATTCCGGAACGCCGCGGGACGTATTTTTGCTGTGATCGAACGTTCCCTAGACACCTGTGAGAACACAGAGTCCGCGATTTTCTTGCTCTTGAGTCTTCGCCACGAGAGAAATCCACTCCCATGCCAGCGACGTGACAAGTTCACTAAACTCAGCAATGTTGATCGCCACTGGCAATTTCGTTGGAGAATTTATCGAAGAAACTAACTCGATTTCACGAAGCGAAGTGAGGATGAAAGCTTTCTGATTCGTTGCTACTATCGAAGAGATTTGTAAGACAAAAAAAATAAACAATAATCCTTGTAAGGGAGCAATACAGAGAAGAGATTAGGAGATTCTATACAATAGATGAAGAAAAGAAACTCAACTATATAACGAAGAACTCGAACAAGCGCGAAATCAACTACGGGGAACTACCGTAAAAAAAAGGAAAGGAAGGACCACGAGCTGGCTCCTATTCTCGAACGTAGACACCCTGCGGTGAGAGTGTCACGGGGATAAAATGACGCTTTAATAATAGCGATTAACTCGACATTGTACTCCACCAGGCGACTTTCTTGGTGTTGTCGATCGAACATCGATGGAATTGCATAGTTTCTATTTCTTTTTTTTTTAACTCTCTTTTCCTTTTTTTTTTAGGTTTACTATATTCGTAAAACATCAACAAGGATTCTAGTATCATTTCCTAACTACCCCCATTAGACGGATGGAATAGATTTGTGCTACTGACCGAATCTATTCGTAGATAGTGTCGTTCATGTTGTTGAAAGATTTAGAGCAAACTATTCAACAAAATATTATTATTATTATTATTATTATTATTATTATTATTATTATTATTATTATTATTATTATTATTATTATTATTATTATTATTATTATTATTATTATTATTATTATTATTATTATTATTATTATTATAGACAACAATTTGTATTAATTATATGTACATAGATTCATATACAATTTTTCTATTCGATACAATTTTAAGTATGAGATTATTGTTTATTAGGTCTTCTGACAATTTCTTAAAGACCCGCTGAGTTTATCAAAATCTTATCTTGAAATTAGATGTAAACACATCAATGAATGTTATTCTAAACGTTAATCTAATTAACGCTGCAATTGACGAACACCGTCTCGATAACACTCTTTATGGGAACATTGAAAAAAAACTTCTATGGCTATCATTCACAACATAACGTCTTAACACACTGAAATTCGAAACACTAATTAACAACGACCTCCACTATAATTTATCTATTCGAGGCCGCATTAAAAAAAAAAGGCCAATGAATTCTCAAGACATCAATTATATGCAACAACCATGTTATTAATCTAAATATACTTTCCTTGTAAATTAACGAACATCTCTCGAAGAAAACGTACGATGCATATAAAAAAAAAAAAATAAATAAAATGAAAAAATAAAAAAATAAAAAAAATTATTGCGACCGATCTACTCCTTCTCGTTACATAGTTTCCTGAAAGTCTATATTTGCACGATCTAAAAGGACGAAGAAATTAGATCCGTCGCCCTTCAATTCCAAGAATTAAAAACCATTTGTAGCGCGGCGCGGGACGAACGCGAGATCGCGAAGACAAAGATGGCGTCGAACAATTTTTTTACGACGGAACAAGTTTCGTGTCCTCTTCAAGTAGATATATATTCCTCTACCGGGTGGCACGCCTCATTCCGTATAAGCGCCGATCGCGGTAAATTTATGGTAATTGCCTTTTCTACCTGTCAGAGACGTTCTTTCTTCTCTCTCACTCTCCCTCTCTTTCTTTCCTCTCTCTCCCTCTCTTTCTCTCTCTTTCTCTCTCTCTCTCTCTCTCTCTCTCTCTTTCTTTCTTTCTTTCTTTCTTTCTCTCTCTCTCCCTCTCTCTCATTTTCTTTCTTCGTACTCTCTAGCTTATCTCCGTGTTCCTTTCATTAAAAACTGACCTCGTAAGAAGAGTTCGGAAAGCAGGATGCCATTATCATCGACCTAACATCGATAGCCGTAAATTGGATTCTCACGATATATGTATACGCAACAAGGTGCTATTTAAAGGGGTATAAGGGAAAAAAGTCAGAGATCGTTGGATCAAATGTCAATGAGAAATGAAAAGAATACTTGACTTAGAAAAATAAAATGACTGATTTGTCCGCTCGTTTACTCATTTTGTTTATACCAACTAGGAAGAGTGTGAAAGCGATAAGAGTCTGATAAGAAGCTTAACAAGAAAATAGCACATTACAAAATCTAAGTGACGTAACGTTTACGTAATTGCTCGGAGCGTTGCTCGATTATATTTATATATCCTTATTGTGTATCAAGAAGCGTCATTGATTTCATTTGGAAACGAGATAATAAGAGAGAAGATAACTTACCAGCTGCAAATCTGTGAGGGAAGATCCTGCCATGCCTGGAGAGTAGCCACGGATAAAGAGGATAACTGTCTCTCGCTGGTTGATGAGTATGAGGCGGAGGATGTGGACCAGCTGGTGCGGCACCGTGCGTATATGGTCCATGAGGTGGTGCATGCGGAGAAGCACCGTGATGCGCTTGAAGAGCAACCGCGAGATTTGCCGCTTGGAAGTGCTGAGCGGCAGCAAGGTTGGCAGCGAGCGCGAGTTGTTGCGTATGATATTCGTTCTGACCGGTCTGAGGTGCCGTCGGTCCGTGTCCAGGTGGTATACCATAAAGAGATTTTAGCTGTTCGGCTGCGACGGCTGCTGCAGCCGTAACGGCACCGGGCGGTGGTGCTAGGTAGTTTGGACTTGGCCTCACAACACCAGGAGGTGGTTGAGGATGAGATCCTACAGGTGAATCACCGTGTCCGGCTATCCTATGAGGTGGACTCGGACTGTCGTTCGGAGTGGAGCCACCACTGTGACTGAGAACGGTACTCTTACCAAAATCCAACTGATTGCTGCCGCCAAGATGGTGATGATGATGATGATGGTGATGTCCGTGATGATTCGCATGATGATGGTGGTGATGATGATGGTGATGATTATTATTATTGCCGGTGGTCGCATGAGACGGTGTCCTTCGCGAATTATTCGTGTACGATTCGACGGAGGAACTACGAGAGACAGGTCGATCAGAACCTTCGGAATGAGCACCGGGTGATCTCGCTGCGATACGACGTGACTTTGGCGATGAGGAAGCATCGACGAGCTCCATCGGACTACCGTCATCTCGCTCAATCTCGACTCGAGGCTCCAAACGATCTTTCCCAGTGATTCGATCCTCGATGACTCGGCCAGCCTGTACACCAGCACCGCCGCCAGTACCGGCACCACCGCCACCTCCACCACCTCCGCCACCGACGATCGAGTCGATGCTGAAGCCGATCTTTGGCTTCGAGGGCACCGGGACGATTGGCGTCGGCGCGAGCGGCATCATCGTACGATTATCGTACGCCTCACCGAAGGATTCCCCACTTTGGCAACGACCTAATGAAAACTATCTCCTGCTCGCTCCAAGTAGATCGTCGAAATCAGATTCGCTGCATCCTTTCGATTCGAAACGCGCGTGATCGAACCTCGTCCGAGACTCGTAAGCACTCGCGAAACGGAAACTGAGAGATAGATAGAGAGATAGAGAGATAGAGAGATAGATAGAGAGAGAGAGAGAGAGAGAGGGGGGAGGGAGGAAGAAAGAGTAAAAGAGAAAGAGAAAGAAAATGAAATTCGGAATGAATTCTCTCTTTAGTAAAATCCTATACAGGTCTTGCCTCGAGGCCTAACGGCTCACCTTCAAAATTTCCCAATCATCTCCGGAACACATCGTCCATACACTGCTCGTCGCACACTGAAATCGTAATCACATAAAAGTCGCGTCCTCCTTCCTTTTTTCTTCCGTTTTTTTCTTCTTTTATCGTTTAACCACGCCACGACACACTAAACGATCGAGGTCTGTCACTACACACTGTCACGATTGGGGCGCGCACGAGCGCGCCAACTCGTTGTCCTCGTCGAGCTTTTATTATTATTAATAGAACGATCACTTGATAGGTCTCGACGAGGACGTCAACATTTTATTTGTTTGAAAGTCGCGTGTAAACTATCGTTACTACTCTCTTTCTCTCTTTCTTTCTCTACGCACTCTCTGACGGATGATGCTTCTGGCACGAGAGCTTGCTAGTGTTTGAGCAAATTACAGGCTAAACGAGGCGCTCCCGCTCGGTGGTGGGGGAACGAGAAGCGAGTTAACGCGTATCCCCACTTTTTCACTTGTTCCTGACTCCAAGACTTAGTGGGGGAGAGCAACGACCACGAATGGGCGTTACTACGTGGTACCGAGACCGATGTTGAGGCGTATCCCTACTATAATGTGATTGGTCCGTTCTTCAATGTTAGGACTAAAGTTACCTCGATTTCTCGCCCGCTACGTGGATGCTGTGACGAGTAGGGCAACGCATTTAGTCGACGATGGGCGTTAAACTCGCGTTTTTGTCCTACGATGAAAATGAGCCGTTTAATTAATACGTCTGCCTCCTTCTCTCTCTCTCTCTCTCTCTGTCTCTCTCTCTCTCTTTCTCTTTGTCTCTCTCTCTCTCTTACCCTTATTCTATGCTTTCTCTTCTTTTACAGTTGGCTTCCATTTCTTTATTCTTTTTTCCTATTCGTCTTTTTTTCTCAACAACGATATCGCACGTTTTTCTCTCTATCTCTTTCCATCCTTTTCATCCTTTTCTCTTGATTTCCCTTTTCTTTTATACTACCTGCAGAGAATGTAATAAGAAGATACGTTTAAGCCGAATTCCTTTGGGAAGTACTTAAGAATCGCATCCTGAATACTTCAAAATACACTAGAGCTGTCCAAGGATTTGTATAAAAAAATTTCGAGGGCGACCACTTACGAAATCCTTTTGCAAAGCGTAATTTCATAAAGGTCTTTTACTGAAGTTTCAATAAGTGGCTAATGAATCGTGTTACTTGCGTAAGGCTTAAATTATATCAAATTTTCACATTACAAAACTGATCGAAACAGGCCGTCGTTTGATGGCTTATTAATACTCAAACATATTGTAAATTGGCCTTTACGAATTACTTGTCTCTGAAAAAATGATTGTTATTTTCTTTTTTCTTTTTATTTTTTTTCTTTTATCTTTTTTTTTTTATTTTAGAATTACTTATCTCGCACATTTAAAAGCATTTACTGCTGCTGAAATTCCAGATCGAGCAGGTATACCATATCTATAGTAGATATACCTATACTTAATTGGCGAACAGATCAGTGCTCGAAGCAAATCGGAGGTAATTATCAAGAACGTAACAGTGGAACGATACGAAGCCCGTAATTCGATCGACGCAATTATATAATTAAGACGTCTGTACCGTCGCTTGTTCTGTCACAATATCTATCGAACCCACAGTAATATCTTAGAAATCGACTTGAGTAACTATGTCTAGGTATATGTACATATTACACATGTGTCTTGCCAATGTAAGCTTTCAAAAGTTCAAATTAATAAAAAGGCGTTACGACAGAACGGATGCTCGCATTAGAACGATACATAGATAACCATCAATTAAACACATAGCTACATTTAATATTATCTTGTAAGACTCGTATTAATTATCACAAGTAAAAAAAACTGACGGATTACCAATATTACTTATAAGTAATAAAATTTTTGAAATTAATACTTATATTTCATCAAAACGAGATTTGTTTTCAATGAAATAGAGTAAAGGATAGAACAGTATTTTTTTCAATTAAACATATAACATATAGATATTAGTGCATATACTTGATTATGATCTAAAATATATTTCTTATCACATTATCATATAGGTAGATTGCACTAAAAGAAATTTAAAAAAATATTAATTCACTCAAAAGCTGATATCTACTTTCAGCAGCATACTCGATTTCATGATACACACGTAAAACATATGACGTTATTCTTAATCTGATTCCCCGTAGGTGTCGCGGCCTTCATTTGGACTTGATGGAGGCTCGGCTTCTCTCTCCCTTCTCTCGTTCGCACGCGAACGAGCCCTACCCTTTCCATGCAAGAAACCAGCCCACATGGCGGAGCTGCTGAAGTTTGCTTTCTCGCCCTACCGAGGAGGCTGCCTCGCCGGCATCAGCACCGTCTCTCTCGAACGAGTGAGAGAGCAGGTGTGTAGGTGCCCTCGGCCACGTGTATATGCGAAGAGGGGATGTTCAACATGGCGACTGTGTACACATCGCGCGCGACGCTGCACCAATGCGCAAGCAGCGAGCACGCCCGTTTCATTCTCTCTTCTCTTCTTTTATTTTCTTCTTTTAACGGCTTCTTCCTTTGCTTCTTCTCGTATCTTGTCTCTTTCTCTTCTTCAGTCTGCTTCTTGCTCTATCTCTCCGTCTTTCTATCTATCAGTCTCGCTCTCTCTCTCTCTTTCTCTCTCTCTCTCTCTCTCTCTCTCTCTCTCTCTCTCTCTCTCTCTCTCTCTCTCCCCTTCCTTGTTTTTCAATGCATCTCAAAAACGTTTCCTGTACAGTTTCGTTTTATTCGAGATCACATTTGACTTCGCCACTTTTCGCATAAACGGTCGAAGAATAAAAGAAATCGTGTATTTTATATGTTATCGAAAGAACTAATCCTACTCTCATCATTTCTCAACACCATTTCAAACGAACGTTTCGCGTGACTAATCGACTGGCAATCATTTTTTCTGAATAATGTCGTTAAGTTCGAACATAAAAAAGTTTCAACAGAAAGCCCATTGAAATTGAAATAGGGGGATGCATTGTTCAACCACAGTCGTACATTTTTCGACACTTTTTTAGGAAAGGATTTCTGATCGATCGAGAAAGTATGTTCACGTTCGAAGCATGGATAAACGAGACCGTTTGTTTGCGCCACATGCCGATTTTAAGTCGCGACGGTATGACGATTAAAAGCGATGGGTGATTCTTTCTGACGTTTTCTTGAAAATTTTACTTCCCATACCAATTCTTCTTTCGCTTCGCACATAACACTTTCAATTTTCTTATATACCTACTTGTATAAATATTTCCTGATATTATCATAATAACATTTTTTACACTAACATTATTATAATAACATTAATTATCTTAACATTGACGGTCATACTTTACATTAACCCTAAGATTTTTATCATATTCTATCATTAAGAAATAATAATAATTAGTTACAAAATAATGTCGTGTACTATCTTTCGTAAATATACTTGTAAATATACTTTTTTCATAAACAATAGATATCAGAAAACAAGAACATAAATTCGAAAAAAAGAAAAGTGAAAACTATACAACTATAACTAACGTTCAATTAAATTCAAAATGGTAGATAAGGTCTTATAGAAAGCATATCTATAGTTTTTTTAGCATTCGATTATAATACCGCGACAAATTGAAAAGTGTTCTCCAGAGCATAGATCGAATTACGTGACACTTAATCAGCCCGTTTATTCGCCAATCAAGGAACAATCGTTGTGACTCGAAAAACGAGAAAGGTTTTTGTACTCTCGAAACTCCCCTTTCTTACTATAGGTAACATATATATATCCATATATTGTTCTCACTATGAATGCAGGGAGAGTTCGCCACGGTGCGTATCGATTACGGCGTTACAATTATAATAAGTTCGTAATGCCGATATAATGGAAGCACAAGACTATTTTGGTGTCCCGTTGAGAGAGGACCAAAGCCTAGTGTCGAAGAAAACTGGACGGTCCTTTCATCTTTTTCTCCTTCTTTTCTTCGTTTCTAGTGGGATATACCTAGCTATACATTTGAACAAAAAAAATTATAAACGGTTACGAACACTTGCAAGGATCTTTTGACATCCAAAATGTATAATGGTGATAGCATAGAATTGAATAGAAATATATGTAATAATATAAAAATAAAAAATAAAAGAGAAAATATTTAAACAAATAAGAAAAAAATAAAATAAGATAAAGATATTATTAAATAGCAATTACCTTTGATTCTGCATATATATATATATATATATATATATATATATATATATATATACATATATATATAATCTTTAATTTTTTAAGATGCCTATCTGAAAGTTAACAAGAAAGATTAAATTTAAGAAATTAGAAGATGAGAACCACTGACTATTCGCGATCTCCGTATCTTAAATAACCGGTCACCGGCGATGATTTTCTTGGAACGACCAACGGCCCGATTAAATTGATTCGCTAAACCGAACACCGACGGTCAGGTAAAGAGAAAGAGAAAGAGGGGTGAAGGAAGGGCCAACATAAACGAGCTCGTGGCACGGATTTGCACGCGGTACGTAAAGTTTAAACGAGCTCAGGACAAACGAGGAGGCGCTTCGTGATCGTCGCAAGAGCATTCATTTTACACACTGTCTCTCTCTCTCTCTCTCTCTCTTTCTTTCTCTCTCTTTCTCTCTCTCTTTTTCTCTCTCTCTCTCTCTCTCTCTCTCTCCCTTTCTCTCAAATGTGAACTGAGAGGGGATAGAGAAAAATCTTTTCGAAAAATTGAGCCTCTTGAGAATTTAAAATGAAAAGTGTCGAACCTCAGCAAGCACGATTAATTTCTTAAAATTACTTGAAAATATTTATACTCTTACACAGACCCGCAGGTATATCTTTATAAGTGTATTTATACCTGTATCTTTATATATAAGTACCTACCTACTTACAAGGAATACATATACGAAACAGGAGGTGCCTAAAGGAAAATGCGAACCGATCGTGCTCCTGGCCATCATCGACGATTACGCATACTTGCTGGACCATTATGGCTCATTAAAGAGGACCAGCCCCTGCCTTATACAGCCAAGGACCTCCTCCGATCTTTCTCCCTCTCTCTTTCTCTCTCTCTCTCTCTCTCTGATCTTTTTCTCATCTTTCTTTCTATCTCCTTCTTTCTCACACTCACTCTCTCACAAATCGTCAATATGATTTTCAAACGAGTAACCAAGAATAAAAGTGCATCGACCGAAAATTAACGGCTCTTTAGGGCAAATTGATCGGCTGTGTTCGCACTCAAATTTTTTTCCATGAAGGAATACCGATCGTGGATGACGATGATGGGTTGCCGCGGCAACTCAGGAAGAAGACGGAAGCTCGAGGTGGGCGAGCGATCGTGAAACCGTCGATCATCATCGCCGTCTTCTGCCATCGGTCAGAGACCTTTCTAACTAAGGT